AACATTTTTTGTACTTTTTGTACAATGTGGGGCATTAATGCATTATTCTCAAATTATAGATTTTAGGGCAAATGTTTATTCTTTATATTGAAAAAAATATTTTAAATTACTATTACACCYATATCTCTAATAAAAATTATTATTTATAAATACGTTTTTTCACTTACTTAATTAGTTTTTTAGATAATTTTTAAGGCCATTTATTGAAGTTTTTATGGCATTTTTGCCCTTTTTAATGGAATTTTTGTGTTYTTTTAGGTCATCAACATCCTAACTCTAGTYATCACATCTTCATCAAGTGATTATTAACTGTTAATTTAAAATTTGGTTTTTTCAGACTTCAAGGAAAGAGTATAAAAATTTGATTTGCAAAACTGCATAAGGTTTTTTTTAATTAGGTACCTACCTAACTTAGTGGCATGTACAATATTGACAATTTTCAACCCATATAATATGATACAAGACTTAATAATTGTTAGTTTATATCAATCTACTAATTTCAATATTATATTTAAGTATTTATATATTRTTTAAAAATTAAGAAACMAACTATGTTTTTTTAATTATTATTTAAAAAGTAAGTATTATTTTTTTACTTTTCAATAATTAAACTCTACAGTTAATTTTATTGAAATCTTATTTAAATGTTTTGTATAAAATTATTTTAATATTTKTCTTGGAGTGAACTAAATTTGTAATTCACCACTTGAAGATATGGCACACTCACCCAAAGAAATTTCTTCATTTTCAATTAAGAGCTACATACCTCCTCACAACTGGAAACTCACAATGTAGACTCAAAGGTAAATGGTGTCTTGACCATTTAAATTAAATATCTCTCCTTAATATCCTAAAAAAAAACACCAAGCTAATTGCCACTAATGAGTGGCTTCTTATTCAAAAAATCCATTTTCTAACCCTAATCCTAWATGCCTATTGTACAAAATTAATAATTATATAGATTGTATGTGTGTTTGAAAATATATATATACGTTTAGTACAAAAATAAAAATAATTATTTCAATAAGTTATTATGGGTTTTTGAAAATCAAACTGCTGTAAAAGTGTGATAATGATAGAGGTTTTGTCTTTAGACGCTTGAATTCTACAAGACCTTGACTACCAGACCACAGAACAAAACTGCCTATAWAGACAGTTGTTGTAGGTAGTACAAGATATTATAACAGACATATGAGCTATATTAATATCGCAGAATAGATGTATCAACAAAATTTAAATAAATTTTGTATAAATCTTATGTAATAGGTAATATTATTATCAGCTATGATACCTAGTACCTAATATAATATGGTGCATGATTGGCATAATACAATATTAGATATAGCTATAYTGTTCTTAGTTTTACATGATAAAAACATTAATAACATCAAAATTAACTTATTTAAAAAATAATCATCTATATTGTATGACAATGCAGTAAAATCTTTAATGATTTTCTGAGCATTTAATTAATATTTAAGCTTACTTTTAAAAATAAATCACTGAAATATTTTTCTAATTGTGTTTATGTTATCATCAAATATGAATATCACATTATTAAATTAAATATTATTTATTTATCACAAGCAATGCTAGAAATATTCATGGACATTTCTTTAAAAAAATTATAAGTGATTAAGATTTCTTACAAAATATGAATCTAAACCACCTCTTAGTGTTACAGTATTAATAAAATAAAGTGTATAAAAAACGTATTAAAACATTGGACAATTAATACTAATTCATAGATGTTAGCTTATAATGAGAACAAAAATTATAGTGTATAGATATAGATTTAAGGAATGTTTAAAGTTCATCGTCGATAACTGGAAAATCACCAATTTCCACTGCTGAAGGAGTAACAAAAGATCCATACTTAGGAAGTGTTTGAAAATATTGTTTTCCATTTAAAGATCCGTCATGCTTGCCGTATGGTTCATCATACTTAACTCCAACCCAATAACCACTTTTATCATCTAAACGTCCTTTGTACATAACTGTGCCATGTTGAGCAGGTTTGTTTGGTAGTCTAATACAACACCTTTGCCCAACTTCTATTTTGTCGATTTGTTCTTTTTCTAAATTCTCTTGTTGTTCTTTTTCCAGAYTTTCTTGTTCTCGTTGTTTCAGATATTCTGGATTATATTTACCAAGCTTGTTATTCATTAAAAAGCTCTTTAATGTTTCCTAAAAAAAATTTATTTAAATTAATTATACAGTATACAGCACAGAAACCAATAAACGTATAAAACTATAAGGCTAATATAGGTACACACTTGTTTAGCATTATATTCTTCCTCAGTCATCTTATAACCATCAATAGTATCCTGATCAGATGTATCATATGCTGGATCTTCGACCAATAAAAACATACCATTTTCAACGGGATATGATCCTAATTGTGAATCGTCATCATCCAGTTTGACTACTAACTTATCTTTATCGTAAGCCGATAGTATCATTGTACCAGCTGATCGCCCAGTGATCATTTCCAATTTGTTTTTAAGATCATTGATCGTCATACCTTTTCTGTATCTCCTCGTGTTTATTTCAGGGTCTGACAATTTTGTACATATGTAAACTTCTAACATGTCTGAAAGTTGATTTTCTTGATGATTCATGATCATAAAACAGTAGACGAAATATTAAATATTAAAGTTATATAACAAATATTTAACAAATAATACACGCGTCCAAGTCCAACCAAAAAAGTACAAACACTATAAGTACAAATGTCAAATGTGAAATGACGAAACGAAAAACGGTTAGTCATTCGTGACTCTGGTTTTCGATAGTTGTTAGTGCATGACAAAAATAAATCGGTAGGAACTGATAACCGACGGAATTRTTCTTTTACCGCGATAGAACCACTTTAACCATGAATTTAAGAGATAAGAAGATCAATCTAGCCTCGTCGGCCGAGGTT